GGGGGGAGGCGGAGGTGGAGCAGGAACTCCGAATTTAGACATAGGCAAGCCGCAACACCGTGGGAGCTAAGGGCTACCCCACGCGCGGCTTCTTGCACAGCCTGCTACCGAACTTCTCAATGAACTCACGTTTGTCAATCCGTATGGCTGCATTGAAAATCTCCTCGACCATGTCTTCGTCAAGGTCCTCATCATGCTCAAGACCTGGTGTCGGCTGTTTGTGCGCCTCAGCCGCACCATCTCCGCTGGCGGCCGATGCATCACTAGGAGCCCCATGACCAGGCACACCAACATCTTCGGACTTGAAAGGCGATGATGCCGTTGCCGTAGGTGATGCCTTCGCCTGGGAGGCCGCCAGCAGCTCCGCGAACTTCTTGAACGTGTCGGACTGGAGCATTTCCTTGATCTGCGCTTGCTCACTCGACGCAGCCAGCACCTCAGGATCGACCTCCAAATCCACGACGGGCATGCCAGGCAACGTACGAATGAGGTCCCGATTGAGGAGCTCGATCTCGCGGTCCGTAGCAGCAACTTGTGCCCGCATGCCATCGATCTTTTCTTGAGCACTCGCGATGAAGCGTCGCTGCTCCTCGATCTGGTGCTCAAGTCTCTGCTTTTTGCCTTTAGCACTTGCCAAGCGATGACCCACATTAGTATGCTGAGTGAGCTGGGGCTTGGTCTGATGCAATTCGCGACGTACGGCCTCCAGCTTGATCTCGAGCTCAGCCTTGGCACCTTTGCCCGACTCACCCAGCTTCTCACAGTGCGATATGGCCACCTCGAGCTGCTTGATGTTGTCGCGCAGTTCCTGCTCCTTGGAGTCCTTGGGCGGTTCCTTAGCAGGGTGGCTGGCCACAGGGACAGTGGCCAGGTTGCCTCCTCCTGCCAACTTGTCAAACCTGCGCTGGAGCTCGTCCAGCCTCTTCTGTAGTTTGTCGTCACGACCACCCCCACCGCCACGAGGTATACCAGCCCGCTGGCGATGCTGCTGGCCCCGCGCATGAAGCTCGGTTGCACGGCGCACCTCGAGCGGTGCCTTCTTCCCGCATCTGCAAATGATCCTGGACGCTCAGTTGGTGTTGCGACCACATGAGCACGCCCAGGTAGGCGTCCTTGGCCCAGGGAGGACCTCAGCGCCATCTCCATCGGTCATGAGAGCCCGTAGGCTTGGATGAATGTGTGGGTTGAGATCCCACGAACTGAAGGTTGGAACGGGGCTCGCAACAGCGACTGCCGCTCTGAAGACTGCTGCTGCAAGCTCAGGAATCAACACCTGAGCCAGAACGGCTCCTGGCCCCCTATAGTGGCCAGGAAGAGGCCCAGGATTGAACACTTAGAAATGAAAGGACCTAGGCACCCCACAAAATCAAAGAACTTTCGAAACATCAGACATGAACAACGTGTAGTGGTGGGGGGAAATCGGCCAAGCAGTCTCAGTGCACTTTCATCCCCTGCGAGCCCGGCGCCAGGCCACCTCGCTTTGCGCGCCGCGCGCCGCGAAACGCTTGGCGCGGCGGCCCCCTGTGCTCTCGCGCCGGCGCGCGGCCCCCCCGGGAGAGGGCGGCGCCCGCTGGCCCAGGCCCGCGAGGAGCGGGCGCGATCGCGTGCGCGTCCGTGTGGGCGGCCCGGGCGCCCGGCCCTGTCCTCCCTGCTAGCCCCAAGGATAGATGAGAGAAGGGGGAGGATAGAGGAGGAGGAGGAGGAGGAGGAGGAGGAGGAGGAGGAGGAGGAGAAAGAGGAGGAGGAGGAGCAAGAGGAGGAGGAGGAGGAGGAGGAGGAGGGAGGAGGAGGAGGAGGAGGAGGAGGGAGGAGGAGGAGAAGGAGGGAGGAGGAGGAGGAGGAGGGGGAGGAGGAGGAGGAGGAGGAGGAGGAGGAGGGGAGGAGGAGGAGGAGGAGGAGAAGGAGGATGAGGAGGATAGAGGAGGAGGAGGAGGAGGAGGAGGAGGAGGAGGAGAAGGAGGGGGAGGAGGAGGAGAAGGAGGAGGAGGAGGATAGAGGAGGAGGAGGAGGAGGAGGAGGAGGAGGAGGAGAAAGATGAGGAGGGGGAGGGGGAGGAGGAGGAGGAAGAGGCAGGCGCAAGGGGGAGGAGGGATGTGCCCTAAGGAAAATAATAATCACGTGAGTGACGATGACAAAGGGGGGGGAGGGACGTGCCAGAAGGAAGAGAATAATCACGTGAGTGGCGACGAATCTGAGTAGGAGCGGGAGGGGGATGTAGGAATTGGGGGAGGATGCGGAGGACCAGGACACGCGAAAAGGAGGATGAGGAGGGACGGCGGAAAAAGGCAGAAGGGCCCGTTTCGGACCCAGGGAATGTCCAAAAAGCCCATGCAATACCAATTTCATCAACGAACAGTCCAACAACAATAACGAAGGAAAAGCAAACAGACACGCAAACATGCGCAGCACACAGCACGCCAGCGCAACGCTGCATCGGCGTCTGCTCGCCCGACGACCTCCTCGCAGGGTTGCATGGCCAATCAAGGCGAATCGGCCTTCATAAGCATAACGCCAAACACATATGGAGTAACGACGTTCCAACTTTACCTTGTTCGATTCCCATGTTGGCGCGCACTAAGATACTAAATGGCTTCCCTTGTCAAAGAAACGGAAACCATTACATCATAAATTAGACGTTCACGGAAACGCCGAACGAAAGGTGACACAAAAAGCAAGTGACACAAAAAGGAACAACCACGGTGACACGAAAAGACGCTCCCCTGTGAAAACTGCATGGGAAGCGACCCCCGTCGGCCCGCCGCGGCAATTCCACCTGAATGCTTCTGTTCGTGGGCGATTCTCCCGGCGATCGCCTGGGCGCCTCCGCGGCCGCCGAAATTGGAAGGATGCGCGCGCTGGCATGGAGACCCAAAACAGCAATGTCTGTTTGAAAAAGGTGGTTAGACCACCGAATGGCGCCGACTACGCGCACCCGCGCATCTGCAAGCTGCATGCAAACATGCAGCAAGCTGCATGCAAGCAAGCATCGACCGATGCCAGGGCCCATTGCAATACTGGTTCACTATCAATCGGCCGAACCATCAGGACCACTCGCCCAGAAAAACGATCTGATGCTTCTTTCCACAAATCGAAATCGTTTCCGCTCGAAATGAAAATTGCTTCTGTGTTAGCCCCCTTTCCGTGCGCAGGGGCTGCTGGACATGACCCACGGGCATCCGTCCAGGGGAAAGGGGTCGAACACTCCAGGAGAAGGACGATACCACGGTGACGTCGGAGGTATAGGCCATCAGCCAGTAGCCGCCCACATCCTCATCCGGGTCATCATACCTCTGCCTCTGCCCACCTGCATGCTCATTCCCCTGACTATAGGCCGCCTAGATGGGGTCGGAGTAGATGGATCGGAGGATGGAGCCGCATCGCCGATGCATCGCCGATGCATCGGCGATGCATCGGCGATGCGACGGCGATGCATCGTGGACGTGGGCGATGCCTCGGCGCCGTCGGTGTGGAGAAAGTCGGGCTCCACATCGAGCCGCATCGGCAGTGCATCAGCGATGCGGCGCGATCCTTCGACCCCATCTACTCCGACCCCGTCTAAGAGGCCGAGACTGACCCTCCCCATCCCTCCTCAGGTCGCTGGGGAAGCATCGCTTCCGGAGATGTCTCAAAAACCTGGCTCTTCTTGCTTGCATCGGCATGCAACCAGAATGATCCCGTTGCGTCAGCAAGCGAGTTGCAGAACAGGCGTGGACCAGTGAGACGTGGAGAGCGGGACATGGACAAGCAAGAATTTGAGCAGGGACCGACCGTCCCGGCATTCCTATAGTCCTACCACGAAATGTTCGTAGAACCCAAAAAAAACTAATAACAAAAACCATGTTTTTAAAGCATAAACCCGATGTGATAGAACAAGACAGACTCCGCCAGAAATGTTCTGAGAACACTTCGTGGAAGCCACAAAAGGTTCTTAGAACATTGTTTGGTAGGGCTATAGGCGAGCCAGGACGCTTCGCCGCCGCTTGAAGAATAGCGCTCGCCAACACGGCCTCCGAACGCAGGCCTGGCCTATCGGCTCGAAGCATCGCACGCCCGCGTCGTGTCGTGCTAGGGCCGGGCCCTCGCCCGACGAGAGCCTCCCACTGCGGTGCAGCTTCGAGAGACGAGGAGGCGCTCATCGCTCCCGACGCTGTGCTTCTGCGCTGGCGTGCGGCGCGCCGGCGGAGGCCGCAGGTGAGGCGAGCGGATGGCCCTCGCCGTGCTGCTGCCGATCGAACGAAAGAAGCCGCGCCCAGACGGCGCATTGGCAAGCTAAATAACAACACATGCGATCAGGAAAAATGCAGGGCAAGAGCGTGCAAGCGCTCGGGCATCGCCGTGCCTCGGATAGCAATGCACAGGCATGCCGGTGCAGCGCGAGGGTGGACGGCAAAGCACCGGCCACGGGGGGAGGGGAAAGGAGGGAGGGAGGGAGGAGAGAGGAAGGGGGGCGACTGCTGCCGATCGCCCCCCCGATTTGCTCCATCCGCGGCCCCAATGCTCCCGACCTGTTCACCCCGGCCGGGGGTGGTGTTCCGTCCCGGATCCCGTTTCGAAGGTCCCGGGGCCCGGGCACGAGCCCCAAAATCCGAAATCGAGGACAAAACAACAATATCGGCGGTGGACAAGCCTCCCTTTAGTAAGCCTCCCCTTCGTGAAAACGGCCTGGGACCGAAACCGACGGACCTGGACGCGCAAAAATGACGGTCGCGACGCCCTCTCGCGAACCGAGAACGGCCAACTCCTTGATCGACGGGTCAGGGTGGGAGGTCTATCAACCTCCGACAACAGAAAACCAAACACCATCATCGTCGGGCATCCGGGCCCGTGGCGCCCTCTGAGGACTGATGGGCCTGTTTTCCACCACCACCACCATAAGTTGGAGGGGGGAACGAGGAGGAGGAGGAGGAGGAGGAGGCGGAGGAGGGGGAGGAGGAGGAGTCGCTCTACACGGATCCCCGCGCCGCTCGCGAGGCTTGCTTGCGCTCGCTGCAGGCGGGCGCCTGCACGCACACCGTGCTCGCCGTGGTTGCCCTCGGCGCTCCCTAGCGCGCCGGCGACGGGCCCCCTGCCCCCCCCCCCTCTTCCTCCTCCTCCGCCTCCTCCTCCTCCTCCTCATCCTCCTCATCCTCCTCCTCCTCGTCCTCCTCCTCCTCCTCCTCCTGGCCTCATCTTGCCGCCGCTCGGACGTCCATTTCCCGTGCATGTTTCGGTCTCGTGCGTGTTTTTCGTGCTCGATGGTCCAGGATGGTCCTCGATGAGAAAAGATGCACACGTACTGGATTGGAGAGGACACGCGAGAGAACACAAGACCCTTCCGAAGGCCACATCGCCATAGGAGTGCAAGGAGGCACGCGTCGCGAGGCACGGGACACCAGGGTACCCTTGAGCCGGCAGGGTCGACCTGCTAATCAAGGCCGACTGTATCCCCGCATCTCTCCCCCATCCTGTCCCTCCCTCCGTTCCCCCTTCCATCCCTCCCCTTTGCTCCCTCGCTCCTCGATTCTAGCAGGCTCCCGTTGGGACAGGGCTGAACCTAAACGGTGTTTTTCGTATTCGATTTGTTTTCGTCTTCCCTCGTTTTGTCTTCAATCCACCTCTATCGCAAAACGAAGTCGAAACGAAAACAGCCCACGAAATCGCCAAAACACCGTTTAGGTCCAGCCATGCGTTGGGAATGTCCGTCCATGCAGGACACCAAGAACAGCAGAACGCGGCTCAGCACGCTTCACCCCGCAGAGGGGTGCATCGCGACTGGCGGGCTGGATCTGCCCGAACCTGGTCAGCATCTGTGGAATACCCCACTTCTCAGCCCTTTCCCTCGTTTTTCCCTCCTCCCTTTTTCCCTCCACCCTCCCACTTTCCTCAAGCACGGGTGGCCCAAAGCATCGTACCATTTGGGGCTCGACCTTGCCATGGCGGGCCTAACGCATTGCCTCTCGTTGGGGCTTGGGAAAGCCCCCACAAAATAATCATCCGTAATGCTCGTCGCATTTCCTCGAGGCTATTGGCGCGGGATGGTCAGAATCGGCGAGATCAAGTATAGTGTTCAGCAGGTGCTTTGTGATTGGCATGGCTGGTGCTCAGCCACATCTTGACGATTCGCGCGTATTGCTTGCTGAACAGTCTACGCAGTGACAGAAGAGTCACTCTTACAGTGTATGGGTTCCCTGCCAGTTCTTGAATGCGTTTCTCCTGGACATCTTGTCCAAGGTATCATGGCAGGAAGGGCTGTTAGCACGCTGACCTTTTTGAGCGTGCCCCCCAACTGTGGCAATTTGGCACGTCGCATATTAGTTTATTTATACTGTGTTTGATTGGGTGCGGTCTGGCAACTGTTCTTCACCGTGTCCTACGTGTCTTGATTCCCGCTTTGTTTACGCATCTACAATGCCAACTATAACATTGATGTAACATGCGGCGTTTCTGGTGCTCTCAGATTTTCCAGTATGCTCATGTCTGGCATGCTGTCGCAGCCGCACTTATTGTGTCCGTTTGGGGTGTCTAACTTGGGAATATACACAATCCGTTTCAACTTGTACAGACTATCAAAACGAATGCTAAACATATACGTCTTCCAGAGTGAATGGGTGGGGCGAGGTCCCCAAGAGGCCCCCAAGAGGCCCCCTAAAGCGTCCCAGATGTACCCAAGAGCCCTCAAAGAAGCCTCTGAGAGATACCCCGGAAGACATTCACATTAATCGAAGAGGATCCTGACTCACAGCCCAGGAATGGTGGCGGGCTGGGCCGAATGCTACTCGAAATTCTCCACGATCGTCGCAAGCTCTGACTCCTTCTGGGGGTCGGCACAATTGCGTCAACCACTTGAATAACAAGAACCCTATACCTAGAACGTGATAACAAACATTCTTACAACATTCGCCTTTGAGGGGGGAAACTAGGCACGACACGGCATGGCACGACAATTCTTTCACGTGACACGGTATGGCAAGACATGCCACGCGCGCGGCAACATTCTCGCATTCTGCATAGGTATGATAAGAAAGCTGATGGCTCAAATAAGTGTTATTATAATCCAGAACCCCCCCTAAGAGGGCTCAGGATGGCCAGAGTTGACCTGGGATGGCCCCAAGAAGCCATTGTGGGATGGCTCCAGGATGGACGTCCAGAGGCCTCGGAGATGCTCAAAAGGCACTCGGGGCTGCCCAAGTGATACCCAAGATGACCCTAGAGACTCGCAGCTTGCCTCCAAGACGGCCCCAAGACCGACCCAAGATGGCCTTGTCTTCACGTCGCATGCACTTCTCCGTAGGCTACCGGACTCGGGCAGCAAGGAAACAGACTGGATAACGAGTCGCCCTCGCCAACCTCTCCAGACCTCCGACGCCACGATTTGGCCGTGGCGAAGGCTCCCAAAACTCTGAACCTCCTCCCCTTGAGATGTGGACCCCTTCCCTGGGTCGTTCGCGTGACGCCCCCGAAGACCGAAACGTGCTCAGGGGCCCAAAACGTGGGGAAACCACTTCCGTCTCGAATTTTCCGTGACGGGTCAGGTCTGGGGTTCCGCTCTGGCCGCAGCCGTCCCGACAATCTCGGCGCGGGCTTCTGCTAGACCTGGGCAGGCAAGCAACCGACATGGTGTGGTATACAGCGTCGTTTGCAGGCGCCAGCTGCTGTAAGTCTGGCAAGCGGCACTCATGCTCATACTCCGCCCCCTTCATCCTTCCTACTCATGCGACTCTTCCGCCTCCGCCGGCTCCTCGTTCTCCTCCTCTTCCTCTTCCTCCTCCTCCTCCTCCTCCTCCTCCTCCTCCTTCTCCTCGTCCTCCTGTCCTCTTCCTCCCCCTACTCCTAGCCCCCCTGGCCCACCCCATCCCCCTCATGCTCTCCTCCGCCCCCACCTCCCCATCCCCGTCACCCTCCTCGCCCTCATCCTAGTTATCCCCCTCCCCTCGCCCCGCTCCCACTACCACCCCTCCTCGTCCCCGCATCCTCATCAGCCCCATCCTCTCCCACCTCCCCCTCCCTCGTTCTCCTCATCCCCTTCCTCCTCCGCGCCAAGCCAGGGTGACAAAAACCTCACCTCCGATGGGGCGCGCCCAGGGCTTCGTCGTGGCCGGACCCTCTGACATCTCTCTCCCTCTCTCTCTCTCTCCGCCTTTCAGGAGCGTCCGCTCTGCTTCTTCCTCCTCCCCCCCCATCGTCGTCGTCGTCGCCGCCATCCTTCGATCCGCCCTTGAACTCGCCCTTGGGGCCGCCCTTGAACTCGCCTTTGGGGCCGCCTTTGAAGGCGCCCTTGGCGGGCGGTCGCCAGCTGCTCCTGCGGCGAGGACGACGGCGACGACGGGGACGACGGCGACGACGACGCCGTCGACGAGGAGGAGGAGGAGGAGGAGGACGCCCACGACGCCGGCAACAGCAACTCCGGCGGCAACGACGACGACGGCAGCGCCCACCGCCACCACCACGACGACGGCGACGACGACAACGGCGACGGTGGCGGCGGAGCGACGGCGCGGGCAGCGGCGGGAGGACCACGAGGACGGCGGGAGGAGCGACGAAGGAGAGAGAGGGGGGGCAAGAGACGACGACGAGGAGCGGGATCGAGAGCGGGGTCAAGAGAACGACGAGGAGGGGAGAATGAGGAGGGGAAGGGAACAAGGGAAGAGGAGGGGGAGGACAAGGGCAAACCCAAGACGCATCAACGATGTTGCACCAAACCTTCCTCTAAATCTTGGCCCCCCTTCATAGGACTGTACAACAATGTAGCTTCATTACCCCAGTGCGACCCTACCTAGAAGGTGGAGCCCCTAGGAAAGCAGCATTAGTTGCTATGCTATGCTATGATATGATATGCCATGCTATGCTGCGCTATGCTATGCTATGATATGATATGATATGCTGCGCTATGCTATGATATGCTATGATATGCTATGATATGCTATGATATGCTATGCTAAGCTATGCTATGTCATGATGCGCGGTGCTATGCTAAGCTAAGCTAAGCTATGCTATGCTATGCTATGCTATGCTATGCTGCGCTATGTTATGACATGTTATGATATGTTGCGCTGTGCTATACTATGATTTGCTATGATTGGCTATGCTATGCTATGCTATGCTATGCTAATGCAGCGCTGCGCTAAGCTAAGCTAAACTAAGCTAAGCTAACCCTCTAGGCAGAGCCTAGGTAGGGAATTACACCCATGCTATGCTATGCTGCGCTATGCTATGCTATGCTATGCTGTGCTCTGCTATGCTAAAGCTCAGCGAAGCTAAGACGAAAGTCAGCTAAGCTAAGACAAACCTGAGCTAAGATGAAGCTAAGCTAAGCTAAGATGAAATAAGCTGAGCCAAGATGAGATAAGCAGTACTAAGCTAAGGGGACGTAACTGGGGGAACCGCGGGGCGGATACCGGGGGAACCGCCCGGGCCGGTTCCCACTGCCCAGCCCCTTTAAGAAAGAGAGTAAGAACCCTCTAGGCAGAGCCTAGGTAGGGAATTGCGGGACGTGCCCGATTGAAAGACAACCGAATGAGAATCCTCGAGCGTGCTACAACACACGTCCTGAAACTTCAACGTCAAGAATCAACATGACTGTTTCGTCCTGATGGTCGTACAGCGTACCAGAGCACCACTCCTGGGACGCCAACACCGCGAATCATCGTGACTGACGCGTCCTGGCCATCCTAAACTGTGCCAGAACACCACTCCAGGAACTTCCGCCTTACGCATCCTCAAAAGTGCTGCCAGCTGTCAAGACGGGTGTGCACGACGCTGAGACGAGAACCATACTGTGCAAAAGAACCACCCTCCATCCTTGAAGCCGTTGCAAAATTATACGACGAATGCGCGCGGCGCCAGATCGAGAACAACTTCCTGGAAGCAGGCCACCCTCCGTGCTTGAAACGGGTGCAACCTCGTAAACCGAATGCACGCGGCGGTAACCCTAGATCCACAATTTAAAAAGGAACCGCCATCCATCCAAGAAACTGCTATGAAGTTCTAAAGAAGTGCGTGCGCGGCGCTACAGCGAGGGAAACATGCTGGAGGGCAAATTTGAAGCCTCAGGATCATCAGCGGTGACAAAGTCTCAAGCGAAGTGCGGGGCCCGACCTACTGACACGTCTCGGGGCGCGACAGGGAGGCGTTCTTTAGAAGGAAATGGGATGGAGGAAGAGCAGGAGGAAGAAGAGGACGGCATGTATGGGCAGGAGGCGGTAAGGAGGCCGACAAGGAGGGGGGGGAAGAGGGAGGGGAAGAGGGAGGAGGAGGAAAGTGAGGAAGAAAGAGGAGGTGGAGAAGGAGAGGGACAACGACGACGACAACGACGACAACGACGACAACAACCACGGGCAGCTTGGGCTCCGAGCTTCGCAAAGAAATCGGACTAAGCACTACCCATGAAAAACAGATCGCTCGGCCAGCTCCTGAAGCGTCTTGTGCGCAGAGGTCCATCCGAAGCAGGGGCGGCACCTGGACTACTCACACAAGCGCGAAATCGCACGCCAGGCTGACGCGCTCGCCGAAAGGCAGCACTTGGAGATGTGGATCCAACTGTTCGCCCGCACGAACACGGGACAAATAATCCCTTGTTCTGGAGGTAGGAACGGGGTGCGGCATAAAGGGGTGTGGTGCCGATTCTGAATTTGGCGGTGTTATCTAGCGCTGGCATCTCCGTTTCCACGATCGACACCACACCCCTTTATGCTACATCCTTTTCCTACCTCCAGACTTCTGACGGCCTAGTTGTTTGTTTTGTTTTGGGGGGGAGGGGGCACTGGTCCAGCTTCGAGCTCCGCAAAGCGCCTACATCTCAAGGGGTCATTTTAGAAGGGCGACAGTAGCGGGGGTGCAAGAGATCACGAGGAAGAGGACGAGGTGGAGGAAGAGGAATGCTATGGAGATGGCGATGAAAATTGACGCGAAGATTGGACACACGGCAGCAAGCACCAACACATGTGGCGGGGGTCCCCTCCGCCGACAGGAAGACGATCCCGAATTTAGGTGTTGGCAATTGGACCTAGGCCGCCTGAGAGACAGACCTGCAACGGGCTGCAAGAGTGATGCAGCTTTCGCCGTCGCCGTTGTCTCCGACGTTGCAGGGTAAAAAGTCTTCGGATGCTTCCCAAAGTTTTGACCATGTCGGAGGGGAGCTCTGGGGGGTGACTCTGGGAAGAAGGAGTTCGATTCTCTCTGCAGGGTGGAGGGCAGACAAGACCAACAGCACCGAGATCGGGCGTCCACTTCCCCCGGCAGGTGCGGGCCCCGACACCGGTGCTGGCGAACACGCCCCCAGCCTCCCAGAGGGCGAAGGGCTCGGGGCCGCTCCCGCTGGCGGCGGTGCTGCCCTGGCTCCACGACTTGCCGCCGTCCTTGCCGCCACCGCTGGCGCTGCCTCGGCAAGGACTCCATGCCGCGAGCGCGCGCTTACCCCTCTCCCGCTTGTTTACGTCCGCACCCTCGTGCCCTCCTGCCGCCCCCCCCCTCCATCCCCCAATCACGTCCACCGTTCCCTTCCCTCCCTTCCTTCTATGGCCCAGGGAGGAGGAAGAGGATAACGAGGAGGAGGAGGAGGAGGAGGAGGAGGAGGAGGGGGAGGAGGAGGAGGACGAGGAGGAGGAGGAGGAGGAAGAGGAGGAAGAGGAGGAGGAGGATGGGAGGAGGAGGAGGAGGAGGAGGAGGAGGAGGCGAACGGGGAAAAACAAAGAAAGGCGGATGAAGGGGCGGCGGACGAGCGGAAGGATCGAGGATGGGGCCCGGAGGAGGAGCGGGGGGAGAAGTAATTGAATGAAGGCAAGGCGACAGCGGGAGGGTGTCGAGAGAGCGGGGGGAGCAGGCCAGGAGGAAGAGGATGGGGAGGAGGAAGAGGAACAAAAACGGCGGGGAGTTGGAGGGAGGACAATGAGGAGGTCGATGAGCAGGACGACTGATAGATGGACACGCCCCCGACCTGGGCTTGCATGTAGAAGCCTCGGGCCTGTCACGGCAGCCAAGGAGCCACGGAGCCGCCGCTGGCAACCGACGGCAACCTCCGCAGCTCCCATCCAGGGAAAACTTGAGCAGGGACCGACCGTCCAGGCATTCCTATAGGCCTACCACGAAATTGTCTTGGAACTCTGAAAATATTCTAAGCACAACAATCGTGTTCTTAGAACATAAGGTCGATGTGTGAAAACACAACGATCCCAGCCAGAAATGGCCTGAGAACATCCTCAAGACACCACAGCAAATTATCATAACATTGTTTGGTGGGCCTATAGGAACGCTTGGACGCTTCGCCACGGCTGGAAGAACTGGGCCCATCCAGATTACACGTCGTTCAATTCTAATCGTGCTCATTTCTAAGTGTGCTTGTTTCTAGTTGTTCCTGGCCCCCTGGTGGCCAGGAAGAGGCCCAGGATAGAACACTTAGAAATGGAAGAATCCTGCCCCCCCCCAAAAAAAAATCAAAGAACTTTCGAAGAATTCGACATGAACGATGTGTACGCTTGGACGCTTCGCCACTGCTGGAAGAACTGGGCCCAGCCAAATTAGAGCTGCCGAGGGGCCTTGATCCCCCCGTCCCCATCCGCAGGCAAAGAGAGGGGAGGAGAGGGCGGGGGGAAAGACACGCAAAGGGGGGCAGTACCAAGAAGAGGGAGGACAAAGGAAGGGGGAACGGAGAAGAGAGGGAAAAAGGGAGGAAAAAGGGAGCGGGAAAAGGGGAAAAAGGGAGGACAAAAGGAGGACAAAGGGAGGACAAAGGGAGGAAAAAGGGAGCGGGAACCGAAAGAAGGAGCGGGGGAGAGGGGGTGCAGGGACTCCGCCTCCTGCGCTCCGGGCGGGAGACCTCACCTCGACCCACGGAGGCGCTCCAGGCTGGAAGGTCCGGGAGAGGGCCCTCTGCAGACGCCCAACTCGACAGGGAGCCCGCCCGATCTCCCCACAGCCCCACGTCGACGCAGCGTGCAGCTACCAGACCTCTCGGAGGACGGCGGGAGACGGGGGCCACCCAGGAGCGGAGAGCATCTCGCCTCTGCGCGACCTGCCGCGCAGAAAAGTCGGCCTCGCGGCGCTCCGGATGGGCTCCGAGGTAGCATGCTTGGGCGCCCGAGTTATCCAGGGTAACTCGGGTACGGGGTAACTCGGGTTTGGATTCCCGAAAAAGGAACCCGAGTTAGCCCTGACCCGAGTTACCCCTGATGATTCGGGGCTCTGGACGCCCGAGTTATCCGGGGTCTCGGGTCCGGGGTAACTCGGGTTTGGATTCCCGAAAAACGAACCCGAGTTATCCCTGACCCGAGTTACCCCTGATGATTCGGGGCTCTGACATCCCCCCGGGTGCGCGCTCGGAAAAGTCCTGGCGCAATATGCTCCCGGCAAACTCCAGGGGGGCAGACCTCCGGATGTCCAGGCAGGACCGCCTCCACGAGGAGGTGCCTGCGCAGCTGGGGAGAGTGTGGAAGGTTGGGCGTCGGGCGCGGGCGTCGCACGTAAGACAGGGTTGCCCAGAAGCCCATGCACGCGCACCAGACAAGTGAGCGAGGCGAAACAGAGGGCACCGCAAGCGCGACACTGCCCGCTGACCTCGGAGGAAGTCCCACGGAAGGGCGAGAGCCGAAGCTCGGCTGAAGTCTGTGCGCGGTGCTGGCACCAGGGCGGGGTAGGGGAGCGGCCGGAGGTGTTCCCCAAGCTCACTGGCCAGTTCCAAGCGGCATCGATCTGTCACCAGAGCCTTGACATGGGAGTTGTACTGGGCCTTCGACCCCACTCCAGCGAGGCCACTCCAAGCTGACCAGTCTGGGAGGCCCTTGCTAACTAGGCGCGCGAGGAAAGCTCGGGCCCATGACCTGCCCGAGGTGGTGTGGGCACGTGCAAGAGCGGCTTTGCACGGGTCCCCGTCAGGAAGCAGCCAGAGGCCTGCCCTGAGGGAGCAGACATCGAGCAATGCTCGCCAGGCGCCAGAGAGCACCCAATCGACCACTGCCCTGACCACGGCCGCAGACTTCCACAGCGAACAATCCAAGAAAGCTCACGCCCAGGCGGAGTGTGGCTGCCAGTGAGAAGCTGCTCCGCAGAGTCGACCACCGCGAAGAGCCAGTGCCCGAACCGAAACGTTGCCTCTACCTGTGCCTCGAATGGCACGAGCGCCGCAGCTACCGGGAGGACCCCGGAGGCGACGTACCCGCTCAGATCCAGGTCGGCCAGCCGCTGCAACCCGAACCACCTGCGGCGCGCCAATGGCGCATCGTAGCGGGGTTCGCTGTCAGGCCAGCCTCCTGCCCGGCTGCGCTCCCACACACGACTATGGAGTGTGTTGCTGCCTTGCTGTGCGGAGATACTTTGTGCCTGAACTCCCAGCCCGCCAGGACAGTCTGCGCCACCTGCGCCGCCCCCCGCGGCGACGCAAGGAGGACAGGGTCGTCAGCGTGCAAGATGGCCGCGATCCTCCGTGGCGCCACGGCATCTAGGGCGGAAAGGGCGCAAGCTGCTCCGCCGAGGGCGGAGTGGAACCGTCCCGCAGAATCTGTGCAAGCAACGCCGTGAGATGTAGGGAAACGAGCTCTATACACCGAGGCTTTTTCCGACCCTGCGCTGAAATTCGCACAGGAACGCGGATCCTGGTGTATACGGGATCCTGGTGTATACATTTTTCGTTGTTTCCCTTGGGAAAACGGGGGAGAAGCATACACCAGACCACCCCGACGTCGTCACCGAACCTCAAAAGGTCGTAGGATTGAATCAAAACCCGCCACTGGTAATGTGTATGTTCCAATTTCCGAAGATGCTCATCCCGCGTCCCGGTGCCTTGCCAGACGTGAGTGGCCAATGAGCCTGGTATGCGGACCCCGACCCCCACGCCACAGCTTGCCCCAAGCAGCGCTGCCGTGATAGATCCCATGTGCCATGGAAGGGTGCCAGTGCAGATGGCCCCTCCCCCTGCGATGCCATCGGCGACGCTGGCATGCAGGACTCCGTTGCAGGCGATGCGGATGAGGCTCTTCTGCAGGATGCTCGCAAAAAGCGCAAAGCACCATTAGCAACGCCAGCTGAGTCCCTGGCGCGTGCAGGGGAGGGAGGTCCGCGCTGCATCGCATAAGCGAAAGAGCATTGTGTGCATATGGGCTGATACTCGCGAACATGCTGCACGCACCAAGTAAGTCAGCACGCCTGCTGACCGCGTGCAGGGAAGGAAAGGAGGACGAGGGGGGCGAGAAGAGGAGAAGACCAGGAGACAGCGCGCAACGTCCTGGGAAACGCTCCCTGCAGGCATTCAAACTGCGCCAAGAGCAGCCGTCAAGCAGCTGCAGCCTCGGTGGCCAGCTCGCGCAAAAGGAGGCAGGCGTCACCGACATCTCGCGCGTACCCTCTTCGCCCGGGCGTGAGGGGCTCCAAGGTCTCGGGCCTGGCGCGCAGAAGCATGACCACCCCTCGAAGGAGCCACAGCTGGACTTTCACCATTATGAGGCGGAAAGACTCCCCTTGATCAACTGGCCCTCTAAAGTATGATACCACAACAATTAAGGACGAGGCGGATCTCGCGCGGCGGTCCCAGTCCCGACCAAAAAACAATTTGAGCACGAGCCACAACTGCGGCGCGCGGGAGTCGTCCTGGCCTGGGGCGGCGAGGCGCGAAGGGCGTCCTCCTCCGCGTCCCCCTCCTCCTGCTGCTCTTCCTTCCCCTCCCCCCTGCTACCCCTGCCCCCCCCTCCTCGTCCTCGCCCTCGTCGTCCTCGTTGCCCCCTCCCAGGGTCGGTGGCGCCGGCCGTGAGGCCTTCGCAGTGTTTCGTTGTTTGGTTGAGTGGTGGCGACCCAAGCACTGCAAGAACGTAACATTGAGAAGAAGAGAGGTCCATGGAGGTCTCTGCAGGTGCCCTCGAAGTCTCTGGACGACCCCGCACGTCCCCAGGGGCCACGGTGGGCAATCGGGGGCAACAACAAACAAGCCAAAATTGAGACCTCCCCGATCTTGGAGGATAGAAGATCACCCCAAACTCCCCCGAGCTTGACGGAAGAATCGCGCTGACAATGGCCGAGATGTCGCGCGATTCGGTCGACGCCAACCGTTGTGCTGGTCCATGCCGGCCTTCGCTGGCTCGCGAGGACAGTCCACGGAGTGATGACTGAGATGGACGGTGACCAAAATCGACACCGACGCTTCCGCGTTCAGTCTCGGTCATGGGCACAGTATTGAGGGGCAAGAAGCGTCGACCTCGAATGGGCGATACCTCGCCGATATGATCGACGATCGGCCCCCCCGATAATCAGAGCATCCGCAAGTTCCTGGGCAGACTGGGGCTCTCGGGCCCACCTCGGCGATCAGTGGGCGATTCGGGGTCGACGCATCCCCCCCCCCCCCTGCGCCTCTCCCCCCCTACCGCTGCTCCTGACGTCTCCTTCCCCTCCTCATGCGACCGCACTGGGGCTGATCAGTGGGCGATTTGGGGTCGATGCATCCCCCCCCCTACAGTCGGGACGTTGACCTAAGGAACCCTACATAAGGAACGAGGCCCCTTTTTCCCATCAGTGAAGGCTCGATTTCCCATCGAAAACCGGAGGAAAACCCAGGGCAAGCTGTGAAACGATCAAGGAACACGGAGCCCCTCCCCAACGAAAAGGGTTCCTTCTTCAGCGCCCCGACTGTACGCCTATCCCCCCCTATCGCTGCTCCTGACGTCTCCTTCCCCTCCTCCTGCGACCGCACTGCGGCTGATCCGGCCCGCCCCCGCGCGCGACCCGCGCGGCGGGATGCCTGAGCCGCCGCCGCCGCCCCAGGCGCCGCCGCCGCCCCAGTCGCCGCCCCACGAGTCCGCGCCGCCGCCGCCGCCCCAGGACTCCTCGGGCGGGCCCCGCCCTCCACCCTCTCTCCCGCCTCCCCCCTCCTTCCTCCTCCTCCTCGTCCACCCTGGGGACATCGCGAGCGATCCTGGCACTGGGCGTGCGCTGAGCTTTCGACGGGCCTCTGAGGACTGCGGCCGCAGAAGCGCCACTGCAAGTTTCAACAGAAGGCGGCCATGATGCAGCTCAGCAGGCGCTGAGATCACATGAGCAATTACTTCTAGAGGCTGGTCAAGTCGTTGGTGAAGAGCTCAACTCGGTCGGGCTGAGGAAGCGTCTCATCCAAGTGGACAGGAGAGGGATCTCGCCAAGCGATTCGAGGCCGAGAACATTGCCCGGCGGGCCATAGGTCACCCTCGTGGCGGCAAAGGGCTGCACAACGACGTGTCAAGCAGACATCGCACAGTGGAGCGTCAGCATCTCTAGTTCAGGTGAAGCAGCAGTTGCGACAGACAGCGATTCGTTCCATCCTCAACCTTCACGGCCAGCTGCGATTCAGCAGTACCAGGAGCAGCAGCAGGACATCACAGCTGCTGTGAAAGAGCTAAAGGCCGTGCAAGCCAACTTCAAGACTGAGCAGGACCGGCAACGGCAGGTACTTGGCCAGCTTCAAGATCCACCTGCGAAGCTTGCCGAGCTTCACGCTCAGTCGGACGCGCGGGCAAGCTCCTCGACCAGGTCCAACAGCAACACAAGCTTGAGATCGCGGTGCTGGAGAACCAGGTCTGCAGCATTATTACAGTCATTCCGAAAGGAGCTGTCAATTCAGAGGAAGCGTCCAGCAGCGTCAAGCCAATGAGTGGGACGTCACGCTCACCAGGCAAGGCAATGAAGTCCTGGGCATGTGTGTGGTCCGCACATCCGCGGGCGCGGAAACCACCACAATTCACGACGAGGGGCTGATCGCCGCCTGGAACCACGCCGACCCGCAGAAGCGCCTGCACCCGGGGCTCGTTATCACGGGGGCGAGCGGTGTCAAAGCGGGCTCCGAGGACTTCCTGCAGCAGACGAGAGGGACGGGCGTGCCAGCCAGGAGGGCGTCCAGGGCGCAGGCGTAGGCACCCCTTCCCTTCCCGCAGCCCCCCGGAGCCAGGTGGGCGCAGCTGCCACTGAGAGGGGAGTGTCATGGCCAAGGCTGGGCAGAACGCGGGGTGGGAGTAAGCGAAGATGCCTGGGGCCCCCAGGCGTCTGCAGGCCAAACTGAGGCCATTCACTTTGAACGGGATCGAGGATCGGTCCCTCCCTCATCCTCGTCCCGCACTTCTTCCCCCGCCTGTTACCTCTGCTTCGCTCCCTCCGACTACCTTCTTTGCACAGCGCCAGTCTTGCGCTAGCCGCGCTGGGTTCGGGTGGTCGGGAATGGGGCGGCATGGGGGAGAGGGAGCGATACGACGATGCTCATAAAAGTGATCGCCGCTGCAGTCAGCAGCAACAACAACAGAGCACTGCTCGATTGAGCCGTTTGCTTGGCTCATTCCTCAATCCCGCCTTGAATCGATCTTCCTCCACCTCCCTCAGCGTGCATGGCATCATGTAGGCTCAGCTGCATGCATAGTGGAAGATTGGCGGGGGGTGGTAGGGGGGGCAGTGGCTTGGGAAGCGGGAGCGTCACGACGCATTTCATAAATTTGAGCGCCACTGCCATCAGTAGCAACAGCAGCAGAGCACTGCTCGATCGAGCCGTTCGCTTGGATCATTCCTCACCCCCGCCTTTCGTCGATCCCGCGTCATCTCACCTCTTCCTCCACCTCCCTCGGCGTGCAGGGCGTCAGGTCGGCGCAACTGCCTCTAGAGTGGAAGGGTGGGGGAAGGCGGTAGTGGTAGGGAGCGAGGCGGGGGTGGGAATATCTAAGGACGGGGCCACAAGCGAAGGCTTGAAGAAGACCCCAAGCGAGCCAAAGATCGCTAGACGCGTTTTCTCGAGGGCTTCGAATGCAACTATCTCCTCCCTCCGTCTCCTTCCTCGACTACTCTCGGCTGTCCTTCTTCTGCTATAGTTGTTTTCTTAATCCAACAAATCTGGAACCCAGGCTCCACCGTGAGACATGGACTCAAGCTGAAGTTCATACTTTTCGCCGGCAGTGGGACTGGCTAGCACAGGTTTGCTTACTGAAGCGCAATCCAATCCTCCTTCCTCCTTCCTCGTCCTCCTCCATGCGCATGGGCGCCATTCGCCTGGCCGACACCTCAGCGGAGGCACCCAACGCCTACCTGACAACCTTGCGCCAAACGCTAAACCATTGACCTCACTCACGGACTTCAAGGCTCCCTCCTCTCGGACCGTGGACGGGACCTGCGTCCCCTGCCAGTCGTCCAGTGACCAGCAGGGGGGGGGTGCGTTCTGGGCGGGAGTCGTGCCCCTTCCTCTCTTCTGTTCCTGCCCCATGCGTCTTGCCCCCTCCTGCCTCCCTCCCCCCTTTTCGCCCGCGGAAAAACGCGCCAGTCTGCCTACGGGCTGGTCTCCTCCGACACCAGCGTGAGCACCCGCCTGCCGCCGCGATGCCGGGCCGACGACACGGTTCTCGGCGACGCAGTGGGAGCAGCAGCCACCATATGGCGCGGCCGAGGGAGGTCAGCGACAGCCACCACAGTTCGGGCTAAGCACTCCCACCGCGGGAGGTGCCACCGTAGGGCCCCCCACCCGAGGGAGGGGCACCAATCGGCCCTGGCCCTGCTGCATCTGACCAGCTCACATGCTGATCTTCTATGTGGACGTTGTGGAGCAAGAGGACGCTGAAGGGGAAGAGAAGCGAGGGGAACCTCCCTCCTTTTTCGACCCCTGACGTGGTACGAGTGGCGTCAGAGGGGAAGATCAGCCCGCACAGCCACTCTCCCCTCCATAGGGGAGGGTGCGAAGTCCCTGTGTGCGGGACGGGGTGGGCAAAGAAGGACGCCACAGGCCCCCAAAATTTTGAGGCATGGGCGCCATTCCCCTGGCCGACACCCCAGGGGAAACACCAAACGCCTATCCGACAACCTTGCACAAAACGCTGCACCATAGAACTGCGCGCATTCATGTACTTACGGAGTCCATGCTCTTTCTCCTCCTACCCTAGGCCTCACACTCGCTATACAAACTAATTCCCACTCTGACACCACTCCGACCAATAGCAAGTCTATCCAGGCGATCACATCTGACCTGTTCAAAAAAATGCAGTGATGTTTTTTTTTCGACTCAACGTGGACATTGTGTCGTCCACGTTGCAAAATGCGTGGCCGGAATGGGACGGGGCGCACATCCGTGCGACATTCAAACATTCCGACATGTCGTTTTTCGCCTCGTCACCGCGCTCAACTCTCTGGAGCATTGGGGCCCCGCTTGGGCGCGGCGCACACTTTTCATACGCAGTTTCGTCGACGCGCGTGCGGGCGAAACTGTCGTTCTCGCCGCGGCGCCGCGGAGAAATTTCGCCTGAAACTGGCGCTGCCGCCACGGCGGGGCGCATATATTTCGAACTCACCATTATTCGGGGTGTGCCAGCGCGGAGGAGGAGGTTTCTCTGTGCGACCCCTGCCATGTACACGCGGCGCCTCCCGCCGCTCCGAGGAAGGCCTGGAGGGCACTCGCAACCCGCACGTCGCGGGCCTGGACACACTGCCCAACGGGCACGATCTCTCTTTCTCTGTCTCTCTCTCCTCTCTCTCTGGGGACCAAGCTGAAGAGAGCACTGGCCGTGTGTGTGTGTGTGTGTCTCTCTCTCTCTCTCTCTCTCTCTCTCCCTCTCTCTGTCTCTCGTTCTCTCCCCTCTCTCGAGACCCTCGTGAGGAAAAACGTATGTGGAGTTCCCCGGTGGACTAGCAGGTGCTAGTTCAGGCTCCATCCTCCTCATCCCCCTACTCTCAGAGGCTCCCCCGCTTGAGTTTCCACGGTACGCACGGGTCTCGGGAGGTCCCCAGAAGTCTCGGAAGGCCCAACAACTCCCAAATTACCTCACATCCTCGATCTTCGAAATACGGCCCAGTTCGCACATTCCCGTCCTCCTCCTCCTCCGCCTCCTCCTCCTCTTCATTCCGTCCTGCTTCCCCTCGTTGGATCCTCGAGAATCGAAGCCCTGCCTGGCCCCCCAGCTTCCCATCCTTCTACCCCCTCGTCGTTCCCGCTCAATTCCTAGCCCCCTCTCGTGAGCGAAAAAACATGTCCGCATCCGCTGCCTCGCAGGCCGGGCCCCTGGGCCGCGGCCCCCGCACAAACGGCGCCGGCGCGCTATGTTCGCGGATGAGTTATTTGCCTGTCATATCACAACAAGTGCAACAGCACGTCAACTCTGAATGGAAGGATTCTTAAAGCAACGACATGTCAACACAAGTAAAATATAATCGGCCACGGCCACGGCCACGGCCACGGCCACGGCCACGGCCACGGCCACAGCCACGGCCACGGCCACGACCGCGGCCACGGCCACGGCATGATCTTGGTCTTGGGATGCTCCTTTTGGTCGCAAGTGAATGAAATATGGAGGATGTGACAGCGAATACAACTTGTCGAAACACTGTAACAAGGGCACAAGCATCTTTGAATGATGTGCCCACCCCCACGGGCCGAGTGCACCCATTATGGTGGGGTGTCTCTTACCCGGGGACGCGCCTGCCTTAAGGGCTGCAGGCACCCGTGGTCCGTTCCGTCTCCAGCGTGACGCGGGGCAGGCCGAAGTTGACACGAACGACACCTTTGTTTCCGACGTAGGGAAAACACCACGTGTAAAGCGCTCTGTGAGCTTCCTCTTGACAGTGTGTCTGGCTTCAAGCACGGTAGCTGTATTTGCCAGAAGATGTCGAGCCAGGCTACTAAACCCGGACTATTTGGCCTTCACAGAAGGGAGGAAACGCCTGCCCCCTCTTTCGTGACATCGTCGGCACCTGGCGGCTTGGCCGCAAGTGCCCCCTTTTTCCTTGAATGTCCGACCCCCCGCCCCCGTGACCAGAGCACCGACTGGAGCACAGGACGGCGGAGCCGACTTCGTATCCCGGTTTTCGGGCACCACAATCAGACCGCACTTGCGAAGCCCCCTCTTTGGTAAAGCGACCGCTGCTACTACTCTGGCTGGTGGGAAAAATGCTGCACCGCCGAAGACGAGTTCTTGGAGAGACTTTCGGCTGATAACTAGTTATTTGCCTGTCATATGACAACAAGTGCAACAGCACGTCAACTCTGAATGGAAGGATTCTTAAAGCAACGACATGTCAGCACAAGTGAAATATAATCGGCCACGGCCACGGCCACGGCCACGGCCACGGCCACGGCCCGCGGCCACAGCCACGGCCACGGCCACGGCATGATCTTGGTCTTTGGATGTTCCTTCGGTCGCAAGTGAACGGAATATGGTGAATGCGACAGCGAATACAACTTGTCGAAACACTGTAACAAGGGACAAGGGCACAAGCATCTTTGAATGATGTGCCCACCCCCACGGGCCGAGTGCACCCATTATGGTGGGGTGTCTCTTGCCCGGGGACGCGCCTGCCTTAAGGGCTGCAGGCACCCGTGGTCCGTTCCGCCTCCAGCGTGACGCGGGGCAGGCCGACGTTGACACGAACGACACCTTTGTTTCCGACGTAGGGAAAACACCACGTGTAAAGCGCTCTGTGAGCTTCCTCTTGACAGTGTGTCTGGTTTCAAGCACGGTAGCTGTATTTGCCAGAAGATGTCGAGCCAAGCTACAAAACCCTGACTATCTGGCCTTCACAGAAGGGAGGAAACGACTGGATGCCCCGCGGTGAACCTTTCCGTGCGACCGCGCATCCGCGGGGATCGCGCCCCGGAGTCCAGACCGCGAGGGCGCGGATGCGGACATCGCCGCTCGTCAGGGTGGGGGGAACCCTGCCCTCGCCGATCAACGATTCAAGCAACTCGATGGGCGGCAGGGTAAGGGTTCGGCATTCGTCGAGCGCGTGGCGAAGTCCGAAGCCTACCCCCGCCTCCTGCCGATGCAGGAGAATCGATGGTTGATCGGGGGTTTCTGTATGTAGAAGGAGGGGCGTGCGCATGTTCGCCACCGAGAGAGAATCAACTGGCCGCCGCTTTCCTGGGCAGGATTCGCATGTTCGCTACCGCTCCTCCTCCTCCTCCTCCTCCTCCTCCTCCTCCTCCTCCTCCTCCTCCTCCTCCTCCTCCTCCTCCTCCTCCTCCTCCTCCCCCCCGAGGTCCAGCAGCTCGCCGAACTTCGCCGCCAGCTGCGCGGCGGCGGCCTCGGACGAGGCGCCGCCCGTGGCCGAGGCCGCCGGGCGGAGTGGGCGCGACCGGGCGGCGCGCGCGACACCGAGCCGTCCCGGGCGGGAAGCGGCGCCCAGCGGGGGGCGAGAGCAGAGAGGGCGGCGGGGGGAGAGGGGGGAGGTGGAGGGGGGGTGCAAGGGGAGGGGAGCGAGGGAGGAGGGAGTGCGAGGGAGGAGGACGAGGGCCGAGGGGGGGGGGAGCGGGGGGGAGAAAGAGCGAGGGAGGAGGGAGGGGAGAGAGAGAGGGGGAGGAGGAGGCGGAGGGAGGGGAGGAGAAGCGAGGGAGGGGAACGAGGAGGAAGACCAAACGGGCCACGGAGGTTTGCACCCCCGCCCCCGAACAAGCCGCCAAAGCGGCTGCGCGTGGCCCTCAAAAGGCCCGTGTGGCCAGGCAAGAGTCCCCTGCAGCTGAGGCAGGTCAAAGCGGTCGAACGAGGAGGAGGAGGAGGAGGAGGAGGAGCCCAGCGTATGAAGGAGGAGGAGGAGGAGGAGGAGGAGGAGGAGGAGTGAGGGAACGAGAAAGGAGGAGGACGAGGAGGGAAGGGGAAGCCGAGCTTGACCCCCCTCCGTCGTGCCTGGTCCTCTGTCTCCTCGATGCAGGCCCAAAAGGTGGTTCACACTGAGATCACTCTCAACAAGCCAGACCCGGTCGCCCTCATCGTCCTCCGCCCTACCTCGTCCTCCCGACTACTCCTCCTTCTCCTCCTCCTCCTCCTTCTCCTCCTCCTCCTCCTCCTCCTTACTCCTCCTCCTCCTTACTCCTCCTCTTCCTGAATTCTTCCTCCGTGTAATCCATCCTGCCTGCTCCTTCCATCTTCCTCCGCGGGTACGGCGAGCATGGAGAGAATGAGCCATGCTCAGGCCAACACTCTTGTGGACAGTAGCCCAGAAAAGTGTCGGATTCATCACAGGCACCCCCGAGCGGGTGCCGCTGAACGCTTGACCTGTCTCCTCCTCCTTCTTCTCGCTCCTCCTAATCCCCTTCCTCCCCATCCGTTACCATCCTCTCAACTCTCCTCCTGCTCCTTCTACTGCCACTCCTGCTCCGGCACCCCCTCCCTCTCCTGCCCCGCCCACCCCAGGCCTCCCCATCATACAGCAGCGCACGCAAAACTGCCAACTACGGCGAGACCCTCCCAGGACCCCAGACAAAGCTCTGGACTCGCGGGGCGCGCCAGGGGCGGCGCCAGAGGCGCCGCCAGGGGGGGCCCCGCGCCGATCGAGGGAGTCCGCGCGGAGCTCCGAGAAGTCTGTGTGTCTGTGTTCAGGCGTGTTCGCTCCTCCTCGGCTCCTGGAAGACACCATGGAGGGAGGAGAAGGAGGGAGGGGGAGGAGGAGGAGGAGGAGGAGGAGGAGGAGGAGGAGGAGGAGGAGGAGGGAGGAGGAGGAGGAGGAGGAGGGAGGAGGAGGGGAGGAGGAGGAGGGAGGAGGAGAGGACAAGGTGGAGGTGGAGGAGGAGGAGGAGGAGGAGGGAGGGAGGAGGAGGAGGAGGAGGAGGAGAAGGAGGGAGGAGAGGGATCGGGGGGGGCCAAAACTGCCGCTGGCCCCCGGGTGCCCCCAGCTTTGCGCTCCCTCTCGGAGCCCCTGCGGTCCTCTCTGCGCCTGCGAGGCGTGCTCTGGCGGCGGCCTCGGGGGCCTCGTTGTGAATCCTGAGGGCACCTTGTGCCAGGGGCACTTCCAGCATTCGGTCAGGCATGTCCCCCTACAGGCTGATTTTTTGTTGCGAAAAATGAAAACATATTCTAAAATGTTCAAAAGCACGCAAGAATAATCGAACAATCGTCCCCGCATTATTGTTTCACTATTTTGAACATTCCCCCTGTAGAGGGACACGCCCTACCCAATTCCGGCAACCCCCGAGAGGAGAGGGAGGAGAAAGCCAGCACTCCGGATCGCCAAATCAAGCCCCTGGAGAGCTGCATGCCTGTCCTGTCCTTCCTTCCGGGGCCGTCCAACAGGGGGGCGCCCAAGAGGGGGGGCGGCGCAGATCGTGGCCAGCGGCACGTGCGCGGCCAAGAGGGGGGGGGGGGCACGGACGGAACGAAATGAGCAGAGGCGTCGTGAAAGCTGAGGACATTTCATGGCCCACGCCACGACAATCCACCCCAGACGTCGCCCCCCTCTCGGCCGCCCCCGATCCTCAGGAGCACGGCGCGGGTGCCGCCCGGCGGGGCCGATGGGTAGTCGCCGCCCGGGAGAGGGCGCGCCCCCCCCAACCCTTCAGACGCTGCTCGGGTACATCATGACGCGGACGGGGGCCCCGAAGGCGCGGGGGGGGATCGCCTTCTTGAACTTGGCGCGGCACACGCCGGAGTTGCCGTGGGGGCGGCGGATCTTGCCCCACATCACGCGGTACTTCGAGTTCTTGACCTCCTTCTTCGCCTTGTAGACGTAAGCGATGCGCTTGCCGCAGTAGTAGGTGGTGTCGTCCCTCGTGCGGACCCCGTCGATCTTCACAAGCGTGGTGTTCGGGTACACATTGGATTTGCTCCTCTTGTAGCCCAAGATTACACCCTTCGCGTAGAGGCGAACGGGCTGCTTGGTTGCCTTCTTGGTGCTCCTCTTCTTCTCCCCCGCGATCGCCTTGGGTGCCATGGCTGTCTACGAGCTCTCGGGGCTGCGGCCTTCCTGTGCGCGGAGCTGTGCTGCCCTTGAACCTTGAGCCAGAATGGCGATGGAAGGATTCTGCGCAGGTAAGACGAAGCTAGGACGAGGATAGAATCGAGTGAGGATACATCGAGAATCCCCCAGATCTGGCGGTTCTGGAGGGGTATCGAGCGCCCCGACCTTCTCAGAGCCTTCAAGAACGCTCTTAGAGAGTTCCAGAACGCTCTGGAACGGATTGATCCTCGTCTTAGCACCGTCCGAGCAGGATAGTCTTTGGGGCGGGGGCTGTAGAGGCTCTAAGGTCCTCAAGGGGAAGATGAGTGAGGACGGAGAGGACGACGGGCAGGAATAGACGTAGCCTGAGGCGCGCTTGTCCACCCGAAGCGAAGAATGCCCAGTGCACGAACTGTACAGGGAGAGTGGCCTCGCCACGATCGAGCAGTAGGCAGCGGGAAAAAAGGCCCGAACGAATATGAAAGAGCGGCGTACCGGTGCTGAACGGCCAGAGGCGGGAGGGATTGACCACGATACCTTCTGACGCGTATACGCCCCGCCCACCCGCCACCAACTTTCCCCCCAGCCGTCTCGCCAAGCGTGCGCAACGGCCACAGGGGGGAGCACGGATTTGCCAGGACAATTTCTGACATGCACCCCTCGCCCACCCAGCGTTCCACATAAGTCTCCACCCCGCGCCGCTATAACATTGCAATCGATAGGCGTGGCCTCGGCTACGCTCGCAGGGCAAGCTCGGCACCCTGTACTTTACAGCTGGGCCCTCTGGCGTGACGCTAGCAGGTCCGTGAGCAACGGCGTAATAGCCGCTTTCTCTTCGACGCTCGGGCAGGGAGTCCATCGCGAACATCACGGCGCGATAGAAAAATATTGAGATGATCATCCTGAAAGATGACCGCTGGGCGAGCATCGCCTGGTGAGGCATTCCCCTGCTCGGAGCCCAGTCCCCACGTGACGAGTAAGCGCGGACTCGGACAAAGGAGATGAGGAGGAGACAAGAAAACAACAGGGATAGAGAGAGAGAGAGAGACAGGGAGAGGGAGAGAGAGGAGTATCATGAAGAGGACGGGAAGGCGATGAGACGAGGACGAGCAGGAAAGGAAACCAAGGGATGACGGATGAGTAAGAGGGCGAAGAGGAGGGGGAGTCAGGAGGAGGACACGGGGGCGCACGGGAATCGGGATTCCCCTCCCCCCACTCCACCCTTCTTCCGCTGGTGCGCTCCCTGCCCCGCGCCCCGCCGCGACGGGGCAGGAAGGGCGCGAGCGAGCAGAGCTGGCCAGGGGCGTTCAAACGCCGGCCCTGCTGGGCGCTGCGTCCTCCTCGTTTTCCTAGTACCTCGAGAGGGGGAGGAGGAGAAGGAGGAGGAGGAGGAGGAGAAGGAGGGAGAGGAGGAGGAGGAGGAGGAGGAGGAGGAGGAGGAGGAGGAGGAGGAGGAGGAGGAGGGAGGAGGATGAGGATGAGATGATGATAATGATGATGATGAGGAGGAGGAGGAGGAGGACAAGGTGGAAGAGGAGGAGGAGGAGGAGGGAGAGGTGGGGGGAAGAAGGAGGAGGAGGTGGAGGAGGTGGAGGAGGAGGAGGAATACCACAATCTCTATGAGCGGGTGGGCCGTCGGGCCGTCCGCGGCCGCGCGCAGCCGCGGCGCCGCACCGTCAGGCCGGCCCGCAGAGGGCAGGGGCTCAGTGCGGCCGTCGGCCCGCGTCCGCCCCGCCCCGCCTGCCAGGAGGGGGCGGGCAGGCTGCAGGGGGGTCCGCAGGCTTCGAGTCGACAGCCGAGCGCTGAAGTCATAGTGCCACCTCCCTGCGCCACCGCCTACGCAAGAGGCGGGCGGCGATCCGCAACGATCTCAGATCGAGCGGATCGGTGCTCTGAGCCGTGTGCGCTGTGCTGCACGGCGTGGCCTGCCAGCACAACCTGGCCTTCCGCCGCAGGGCTGCTGGAGGGCTGAGCCGCAAACTGGCTTCGGCGACGCCGAGAACTCCGATGAGAAGTTCGAGATCGTCGAGGCTGACGCCGTCAAGGTGCCTCCATCGTCGCAACCGTCGTCGTCGTCGTCGTCGTCGTCGTCGTCGTCGTCGTGGTCGTCGTCGCCGTCGTCGTCGTCGTCGTCGTCGTCGTCGTCGTCGTCGTCGTCGTCGTAATCTGCCCCGCAGCGAGGCGGCGAGCGGGCGCGCCCGAGCGCGGAGCGCCGCCGCCGCCGCCGTCGTAGTACTCGTCGTCGACGTCGCCGTCGTGGTCGTGCTCGCGGTCGTGGTCGTCGTCGTGGTCGTCGTGGCCGTCGTCGTCGTAGTCGTTTTCGTCGTCGTCGTTTTCGTCAATTTCGTCGTCGTCGTGGTCATGCTCGTCGCCGTCGTCGTCGTCGGAGTCGTCGTCCTCGACGTTCTCGTCGTCGTCGTCGTCGTCGTCGTCGTCGTCGTCGTCGTCGTCGTTGTCGTCTGCCCCGCCGCGGGGCGGCGAGCGGGCGCGTCCGAGCGCGGGACGCCGCCGCCGCCCCAGCCGCCGCCGCCACCCCAGGAGTCGCCGCCCCAGGAGTCGCCGCCCCAGGAGCTGCCATCGGCGCTGGGCGAGGCAGCTGGGCCTCCCAGCGCGGGGGGGGCGAGGGCGAGGACGAGGGCGGCGGCGGCGACGAGGCGGCGACGGGGCGGCGACGGAGGACCGTGGCCGCCACACCAACTTCCACATCCGGACGACAAGTGGCGACCAGGCGGCGACGGGGCAGCAAAGGCGGAATTTGGCCGCCACACCAAATGGAGGCTCAGATCACGGGCGTCAGCGACGCAGCGACGGGGCGGCGACGGCGGAACGTGGCCGCCAGACCCCAAGTTTAACGCCCAGCTCCATGGACAAAACTTACACCCCTGTGTGCAAGCATTGTTTGGGGAATATCCATGTGAAGACCTCCTAGCACTGAAAAGCGTACCAATGTCCACACGCGCGCGCAGTCGCGCGCGCATGTCGAAATCTCTGAAAAACCCAGGTACCGCATGAATGTCGACATCGATGTTCAAGAAAACACATGGAAAAACAAATGACGTGTCAACCGCATGGTTGGGGGAAAACGGCGCGCACTTGCCAAGTTCCTTATAAACAATAAGCGGTTTTGAACATTTTCGTAACACGAGACCACGCGGGCCTCTTTCGAGCACATGTCGAAAACCATTCGAACGCGTTTGCGCGTTTGCTGGGGGGGGGCGCACGACCCATGTGAAATAATACCACGCGGGCCATTTGTGCGCGACGTCATCGCGTGCAGGTCTAAATCCTCCTCAAACACGCATCAACACACACACATGGACCTCATAGTCGTCATCGGCAGGACCAATATCAGCGCCGTCATTGACCTTGCCGTCGTCATCGTCATCGCCACCGTCACTGTCATCGCTAATATCATCATCGTTTCCACATTTGTCGGCGTCACCATGATACCGCGCCGGCCCGAATAACCGCCCCTCGGTGACATGCCCACTCGCCAGCGCGGTCCGTGAGACGCGCTGTCAAACCCCCACCTGTTGGCGCCACCGCGGCTGCGACCTGCGCCAACGTAGCCGGCCGGTCTGCGCGCGAGCTTGCGCGCGCCAGCGAGGCCGCAGAGATGCACCAGTCAGGGCCAAGAGGCCATCGCAATCACCGCCGCGTGGGTTTTGCAAGTCAACTTGCGAGTGGGAGGCGGGAGCGATTGCACGAGCAATGTAACTGCCAAGTTCAAAATCTGTAGAGTGAGTTCTTCTTATTAAATAAAAAACAATGATGAAGACCAATAAATAAAAATGATTATTGACCCCCCCAGGATTATCCGCCCGCCTGTAGGATGTGCACTTTACTTACGTTTCTGCCCCATCGTACATACCATCCCAACCCAGCCGAAATATGAAGTCAGACCATCCCAGCCCAGCGGGTACCGCCCCCCCAACATCCTTTGCAAAAGACACACGGACACTCGTTGATCAACAATCATCGACTGTCAATCATCCCTTGTCGATAACAAGGCGAAGCGCACACGCGCGGATGCCGAAATCCTTCAAGGACCTTGGGTCTCAGAACCGAGCGTCCAGAACACATATGACCGCACATGGCTCTGCAACCTCAGTTCTCGAAGAAAAAGTATGCGCGCGTTCTTGCGAATAGCAAAAAATGCACTGATTTTGCAAAGTTTTCAGACAATTCGACGAAACGGGCCTCGCGCGCGCGTCGAAATCATGTGATCGCGCGCTTGCCAGGTTTTGCGCAGACTCTGCCGAAGAATACCATGCGGGCCATTCGCGCGCGTCGCCCGCGCGAACAGCTCGAAATCCCAATCACAACCTTCATCACCGACGAACAGATACGATCATCGCCATCGGCATGATCAGCACCGGCGCCGTCATTGGCCTTACCGTCGTCATCGTCGTTACCGCCAACACATCAAACGCACATGGATATCATCGTCGACATAGGCAGGACCAGCACCGGCGCCGTCACTGGCTTTGCCGTCGTCTTTGTCACCATCGTCACCATCATCGCTACTATCATCGTCGTGTCTCCCGTTGCCGACATCGCCACGATACCGCGCCCGCCCAAGTCACCGACTCGCATTGAAGCGCCTGCGCACCAGCGCGGCTTGCGAGACGCGCTGGAGAGTCCCTGGCGGTCTGCGCCAGCGCAGCCGCGTCGGTCGCGCCAAAGTGGCGGGCCGCTGTGCGCGCGAGCATGCGCGGGCTAGCGGGTCCGCAGAGATGCACCAGCCAGCACCAAACACTCATCTCAATCGCCGCCGCATGGGTTTTGCAAACCAAGATGCGGGTGGCTGGATGGGGTGATTGCTCCAGCAGTGGAGTTGACAACTCCAAGTTGTTTCGAAGTTACTCACAGCACAGAGACTACACTACATATCGTACACATCCAAAGTGAAATATCTCACCGGTCGCAAACATCTTATGGTTCTCGTACTCGTAACTGTTGGGGCACCTGTCAGTTCAAGACGGCCCAAGAAACCCCCAAGATGACCCACAGACGGCCACAAGAGGCCCCAACGAGGGAGAGCCCCACGATGGCCCATGCCGACCCCATGACGGGCCAGGAGGCCTCCACGACGGCCCAAAGCTGGTTCAAGAGGACCTCGTAGGGTCCCAAGCTGGCCCAAGAGGGCCCCACGACGGCCCCAAGGATTCCCCAAGACCGCTCGACAGGAACCCAAGACAGCCCCCAAAAGGCCCGAGTGAGCTCAATGATAGACCCTCAAAAAGTGAATACGAGAAGTATTACACATGACGGCCTTCCAATTCCGTCTCCTCCTCCTCCTGCTCCTCCGCCTACTCCTCCTCACCCTCCTCCTACTAGTCCTCCTCCTCCTCCTCCTCCTCCTCCTCCTCCTCATCATCATCATCATCATCATCATCATCATCATCACCATCATCACCATCATCATCATCATCAGAATCATCCGCCTCATCATCATCATCCTCCTCATCATCATCACCGTCACCATCGTCATCACCACCGGCACCACCACCACTATTATCATAATCGTCATCAACCGCATCAGCATCAGTACCAGCATCACCATCATCACCATCGTCATCATCATCAGCATGATTATCATCTTCGCATGCGCCATCACCATCGCCGTCACTATCACCATCAGCACCATCTCATCATACAAGGCTCTCGAAAGCTGAGGGGCATGTGGTGTCACACGTGACGGTCTGCTGTGCCCCGCTCAAACAGGCACCACCCAGAATGTTGGGCTGGCACGGTGGCGGGACTTGCCGCGGGCAGCTGGATCCGCCGCCCCCGGTCGGTTCATCGCAGGGATGCCTGGCGTGCCAGATAATTTCGGTTTTGGTTTTGGTTCTTTTTCCAAAAGAGCTCCCCCTGGGGCTCTGGCGCGTCCCGCCGGGGTCCCGGAACGAGCTGGTTGCCAGCGGTTTTCCTGCCCCAGACGGCCCCAAGACGGCCCAAGATGGCCCAAGATCGCTTCCAACACGCCCAAGATGGCCTCCGAGACGGCTAAGATGGCCCCAGAGTGCCTTCATGATGGCTCAAGATGCATCCAAGACGGCCGAACATAGCCTCAATATGGCCCAAGACGGCCCCCTAAGAGGTCACCAAGACAGCCCAAGAGGCCTCCAAGAGGTACCCCAGGAAGGATTGAAGAGGCCAAAGTCGCAATTTTCATGTTTACTGATGTTTAGCCAAAACGTTTTTTTCTAATCACTAGACTTGCTTGAGGCTCGCAAAACCCCCGCCGTGGAACTGCTGGCAAGGGGCCTCGGCAAAATCTTAGAGTCCTCGAACACGGCAAAATCTTAGAGCCTTCGAACACAGCACTTCCATGAGCGCTCTGTCCAGTCAGTAGACTTGCTTGAGGCTCGCAGGACATCCGCCGAGGAACTGCTGGCAAAGGGCCCCAGCAAAGTCTTAGTCTTCCATCACCCAACCAAGCCGTTACAATAGCATTGTAGTGTACTCGCTATGTACATTGAAACCATCGTGTATGTGTTGTTTGACGGAAACACGCATTGCGACGGGAGGAGGCAATGAGGGAACAAAGAAGAGAGGGATAGGCATTCTCCAAATTAGTCAAACATGTGCCCTGCTTGCCAGCTTGACGTGGGGTCTGTTAGTGAATTGGAAAATCCGCGCCACTGGCAGCGCAGCAGGTCTATGGCTGGCTCAGGTCTACAACGCCAAAATCTTAAGCGCGTGCGGCCTTGAAACGGCCGACCGCAGGCACAGAAATCCACAACGCGCTCAATGAGAAATCCTGAGTTCCACAGAAGCTTGGCGGTCGGGGCACAGCCGCGAAAAACTATGCCAAGGACTCTCTTCCCCTCCAGGGATCCCCTTAGCAATACACAGACTTTGGATCATCCTCCCAGTCATCCCATGCTAGTTGGAATCTCAGAGAGGACGCTGGTAATTTTCAGATAGCCCGGGCAGACGCATGGGATACTCCGGGGATCTGATTGCGTGAGGCATCCTATTGTATAAAAGGGCATGGCGGGCCCTGGAAGAGCCTCCACATGGTTCCCAACCACGCAGCCTTTACTCTTTGACGAGTTATCCATCCGCGAAGCACATGCCAGACCCCAGGAACTAGAAGATTGAAGCATTCTCCATATCTGACATCCCCTTCTATCACGGCTTCACCTCGGGCTCGGAGATGGCGGCTAAGCTCGCCAGTTCCCGAGAACATCTCAATCACCACTTGTGACTGCCGTCCGCGGGGGGCCTGCAGCGCTGCACGAAGCACTTCTCGAAGGCGTGCTCGATGCCACCCACGCGCCGGCGCGCGCGCTTCGCCGAAGTCCTGCAACTCTAGGCCGATCCCCCCGTGCTTCTCGCATCGGGTGACGCTCTTGAAGGCGCGCCACCCGCCCCTCTGTTGGGCGTCCAAGGTTCTGGCGGCCATGCTGTAGTCGTGGCTGGCGCCTCCATGGCGGAGGCAGTAGAGCGCGGCCCGCAACTCCGAGGCTCCAACAGCGTTCAAGGCTGTCCTGAAGCCCTTCTGGAAGGCCACGTACTCGAGCTCGAGCAAGCGCTTCCCGGGGCCGCGGCGCCGCGCCAGCGCCACCACGCAGCGGGCAAGCCAGCGCTGCCTCAGCAAGTCCAGCGGGGCGCTCGCGTCGCAGGCGCTGGTCTTGGCTGGCGCACCAGCCCCTCTTGGGCCCGGATCACAACGGTTAACCAGCGTGCCGCTCCAGACTCTCCCTCCAGCGGTAGCGCGACATGGTGGGCGTCGGTTGCCAGCAGCTCCGAAGGGCGCATGCGCGTCTCGAACATGATCATCACGCCCAGCGCCGCGACCTCCAGCTCCTGCTCGAGCGGCCAGAGCGCCGCAGCAGATGCCACCAGCCACGGCAAGGGCGGCCGCGACAGCTCTGGACGCTGCTGCCCCCAGCCCCCCAGCGTCTGCTGCAGCGCGGGGAACGATAGACGCATGGGGGCCCGCGCTGAGCTCCGGATCGCCCCACGCGAGCGCCGAGCCCAACCGTTTGGCCATCGCAGCAGCGCCGCCCTGGTCGAAGAGCCACCCCACGAACTCGACCGCTGTCGCGCCCCACTCCTCGCGAGCCCAGGCGGGGAGGGGGCCCGGGCGCAGCCGGGCCAGGAGGGCCTGCAAGACCCCCGGGTACACGCTCTGGGTGTTCACCCGCACCTTCTCCGCCGCCAAGCGTGTTAGCCTGGGGCAGAGCTGCTGCCGCTCGGCCTCCACCAGCGCCCGCGGCTCCAGGTCGACGCGATCGGCGCGCGGCCCGCGCTGGCTGCGCGGCCGCGCGCGCCCCGGCGTCGGCGCCCCGGCAGCGGCGCGGCGGGGGGTATAGTGGCTGACCGCCTGGCCGGGAGGGAGCGCGAAGACCTCGCGGCGGCCTGGCCTGAGCCTGAACTCCAGATGGCGGGCGGCGCAGGCGTCTGCCCCGTCGGCGCCCGTCTCGGCGCGCACCGCCGCGCCGCGCGCGGGGGCCCCTCGCCGCTCGAACTTCTCAGTGAGCCCCAGCGGATGATGCCGACGTGAGGCCTCGTCGCCGGGGTTCCACTCTGACAAGATCCAACGACTGTGCACTCTGATGTCTGCCGCAACACGAAATGCAAGAAGCACTCCGACAAGTCAAGAGGAGACGATGGTGAGAAGCTCGTCCTTTCGCAAGCGCTAACGCAACTGACATGTTAACCCCGAGCGCAAGGTGGCGCAGACCGCGGCGCCGCGCATCCTTCGCCACACGGCGCACCGCCCAGCAGACTGCTGCAGCCTCCACGCAGCGGATGGCCTCGCGGCGCCGCCAGCGGCCGCGCCCTGCCACGCGCCGCTCCGAGCCCGCCAAGTCAGCGGGGCCCGCCTCAGGGAACTCCGAGGCGCGGCTGGCGAACACAAGCGCGGCGCCTGGCGCCTGGGCCACCTCTGCCTCCAACGCGCGGCCCCGCGGCGCTCCAGCAGCCGGGAGCGGCCCTCGGAAGCGGCTGCGCTCCGACAGCCTCCCATGCGCCAACGCGTCTGCAGCCCCCCACGCCGCCTCGACGACGCCGCAACCCCACGGGGGCTCGTCGCAGGCGGTGACGGCGGGCAACCGCCGCCGGCGCACGTAGCCCACGATGCATGGCAACAGCGACCGCACCAAACGCAGCTCCGTCAACGCAATGGGCCAGAACGGCTGTCGCTTAGCCCTTGACGCCTCCGCAAAGGAATATCAATGCGAAGTCAGTTTGCACGCGCAACCACCGCCCGCAACAATAATTTACCGCAGCAAGGGTTAGGGACAGGGTCATGCCAGACGACGCTGCGACCTCACGGCGAAAAGGACCGTGGTGCAGCTCGCAGGCGCCGTGGCATGGGGAGTTCCTGAAGCAGAAACAGCACTTCTTGGTGGTGGTATATAAAGATCGCTCCCCTTGGTAACCAAATATGTATA